CGTGTGTGTGTATATATATATATACATATATATATTTACGACTTAACCCTAAGCTTAGCTTAGACTTAAGGTTTAAGTAACCTCACCCCGTGGCGCGGGGGATGCCCTTACGCGCGTCACCTAGGGCGGACACATCTTAAGAACCTAGTAAAATCCTAAAACCGGAAGCTCCGCCGTGACGACAGGCCAGCTGCCTTCTTTGTTTCTTTGGCGGAGACCGCTCGTCCGTTCTCTCTTTCTCTTTCTCTCCCTCTCATTCTCTCTCTTTCACACTGTCTATGCGATTCCTCTCATTAATATAGATGTAACCGCGCGCGAGTCGTTCGTTCCGTCTCTCATCGCTTTCCCACATCGGAGAAAGAAATGACACGAGAGAAATGGTACTTAATGAAGACAGGGGGAAGTCGTTCTTCCTTATACATGAACATGTCGACGTGTAAACGAATCTACCTATAAGATATATCGCTACCGTTCCGCTCGTTGATATATACGTACATGCGCGCGCGCGCGCGTATGTACATTGGGTCGATTAATTCGCGAGAAAGTGTACGCGGACAGTGTAGTGTACAGGTCCGTGGATGCTGGGAAGAGAAGAAGAGCGAGAAATTGCGAGAGACGGAGCGAAGGTAAGGAGATAAGATATATAGGAGAGAGAGAGAGATATATATATAGAGAGATAGAAAGAAAAAGAGCAAGGAATAATTGTACGAGCGGCGAGAGAACGGAGAACATCGCACGCGCGCGGTTCATCGCAGAAGGGAGGCTAACATTCTCATTTTCCATTCGCGAGTGTACGCTAAAAAGAGATACGGAGGCAAATCCTCGAAGAAGAGGAGGCCTGCTACGAAACACCCGGCTGGGTATTTCTCGATGTTCGTGTAGCCTCCTTTCCTTGACTGCTTGCTTTCTTTTGCTATGCGCACACCGGGATGACGATGCTCGTTGAAAATCGCATCGATGAAAAATCGCTTTCGCTTCGCAACCGTCTGTCCGTTCCTGATTTTCCTTTTGCGACGGCGATGATTTCTCCTGACTCCTCGATGAATGGCGCACTGGTTGTAACAGCCGGGGGAAGGGGAGGGGGGGGGGGAGAGACGAGCAATGGTTTGCAAATGTTCGGTGTGGCGGTGATAGCCGGGGTCTTAGGACCCATCCATCCATCCGCCATCTGAAAAAACGTTCACTTTATATTAATGCGGTAATATGAAATATGTAGCGTACTCATCTTTATTCTTTTCCCGTTGGCAGTATCAGATGAAAAATGTTCTAACCCAAATGTATTGATCTTTTTCAAAAGATAATATTTAAAAAATATAACAATCTATAATATTTAATATAATATTGAAGATAATATTAAAAATATATTATGTATTTTTTAACAAAATGAAAAAATTAAGGAAATTAATTTTTTTATACACAACATTTAAAAGTAATACAAACAGTTTTGCTGCGATTTAGAACCTGAATCAAATATTATTTCAATAAGAAGTAATGTTTTAAAATAATAATTAAATAAAAATGCAAAAATTTTCATTTAAATTATAAAATTGTATCAATAAATGTAAATGTTGATCTTATTGAACTGTTTCATATGTATATATAAAAAATAAATAAAATATAAATTTTCAATTCCTATCACTTTTTGCAAAGAGTATACACTTGATACATCCTTAAAATGTGTTTTGTCACATTAGGAAAAAAGCACTAAGTTATCGTAAATTAATGACTAAAATATTCAAATTATTTCACAAGGCATTGGAGAAAGATTTTTAAAAAACTCTTAATAATTAATTTCTCGGCAAGTAATTATTCAACTCGAGTAAGAGCATCGAAGTCGGTTAAGACAGCGTTAAATATCATGTAATCTTACTGACTGAAATTTACTGATTAAACCAGGTAGAAAGTGGCACGAGTGGCTTCAGTGTGGATCCGGTTTGATTCCACCCGTGCCTCACGTACGCATTTTTTACGTTTGGAAATCATCACTCTAACTGTTCCCTGAGGAGGATAAATACTTGCTACGCATTTACTTACTAGTAAATGACCCTTTAAATGAGTCGAAAAGCCAAACATCTAAAGCAAGAAAGAAAAAGTCAGGCAGAAGGAAGGATTTTTCTTTCAATATTTAAAATCTGCGTGAGTGGACGAACTACCTTGAGTGGACGAATGTGGGGCTCACGATTGCGGTTGCGGCATGTTGTGGTCCCGCTTGTCTCCCGCAGGAGGCGGCGGCTTTGCCACGGATTTCTCCTCGTTTGCCGGTGTAGGCGGTGCATCTTTCCTCGGTGGCATTCTTTCGTTTATGGCATCCAAACCCTTGGCCTCAGCGAACGAGGTAATTTTGTGATTCGGCGAGAAGCCTTGAAGTGCTGTATGAACGGCAGAAAAAAAGGAGATAAAGCAAACAGAATGTTAGAACACGCGAAATTATAAGAGAACTGTTTCCGCAAAGATTAAATTCTCTCTATTTCGTGATTATCTAGTTATACCAGCGATTTTCAACCCTTTTCTATTCATGGCACATTAAATAACGAGCCAAATTTTTTGAGGTATATCATTAGGTGCGCATGCATTCAATGCTTAGCATAGATTTTTTATCAAATATTGTTAACACGACACATTCAGAAATATAAAAAATAAAATTCTAAAGTTTTTATTTTTCATTTTATCATATTTTTTAAAAAACGATTTTATTGTAATGATGATATCGCATTTGTTAAAATGAGAGTAAACAATATAATTTTCATAAAATTTAAAACATTTCTTATCTAGCACTCGCTTTTTATTTATTTCTAAAATCCGCTTCTTTTTACTTTCTCTAAAATTTTTGCGGCACACCGGTTACAAAATCCTAAATTATTGGGTTGTGCGGAAAGTTCGTGCCGATGTTGAAGGAAAATTGAAACGCAGAAAATTTAAATTTTAATATACATTTATTAAATTATATAGGTTAGTCGGCTACGAACTTTCCGGACAACTCAATATATTGTAAGATGCTTATTATCCACGAATAATATAATTGGGACATCCGGTATTTTTTCTCTTCTACCTTCGCGTTGCATCACGATAGAATAATTAAATATATGAACAATTCACTATATTTTTAAATTCTAAATTGAATTACAATGATTCTCAACGCTAATGTCAAAAGTTATTTTATAAAATTTTTACCATTTTTCAGAGAGGTTTTGCCACCAGATAATGCACCGAGCGGTAAAGCTCCAGTCGGCGTCAAGCCCTTCAACTGCAGAACGCTCTCGCTCTCCTCTCTGCAAAGAGATTAAAATTACATTATAATAACAATGAAATAATTAAAAATCATTAAATAGTTGTAAAAGTTGTAGATCAGTTTTTATAATATATATAATGTGTAATCTTTTTATTTTAAATTGTAATTCGTACAAAAATCTATTCTTATGAGTCGAGAATTTCGCATCAACTTTTAAGTTTATTATTTCTATATTAAAGTCTTTCAGGACGCATTATGACGTATTTAAAGATTGTTTTATCGTTCACTAACCTCAGGACGGAGAACACCCGTGCCATTTTGCCAATGGCTCTGATTTTATTTCTGATCACTTCCTTACGTAGATTGGCTGCTGCACCTATAAATATTAGAGACGCATATTATGGTATTTGTATGATAATGAGATATTAGCACCTAGATCATCCAGTGACGATCAACATAGCGAAAGGAATCGGCGATCCGTTCGAGTTCAACAATTTATAATGATTTCTTGAGTATAGTCAACATTAACCTCTAATTAAAAAAAAAATTAAAAGCAAACATAAGATAATTACGATGGTCTTTGAAAATTTTTAATTTTACACCGTGTAAATTTTCAATACGCCTACGTTCAAAAGTATTCTTCAATATCGTGATCGATAAAGTTGTTGCAACAATACAAAAGCTGATCCATTAATTTACAACACATTTTAATCAAGAAACTCAATAGCTTCGCCACGTCGCTTCGTCACCGATTTGCCGCGCGTTCGTCGTCGCGCTTGCAAATCATTTGCGATGATTCTCGCCATCGCACGTTAACTACTACGTAATCCATACCACAGAGCTTACCGGGGGATACATTATGTTATTAATAATCACTCATTATTCTCACCGGATCATGCCAAGACAACTACAAGCAAAATAGTCTGCGCATATCACGAGCGAAGGGAGGAAAAGCAGTCACGTGACAAAAAAATATTGCAAGTGCTTCGTCGCGTTCGCAAGTGAATTACCTACTCTTCGCCAATGGTAAAAGATTTATTTGTCAGTTCGAGGAAAAAAAACGAGAGATAAGAAAAAAGGCAAAGAGAATGTGATTGCAAACGCGCGTGCACTAGAAGCTGCGTAAACGTGCATAAATACAAATTCTTTGCAAAAATATTATGTGTGTGTGTGTGTGTGTGTGTGTGTGTATATGTGTGTGTGCGTGCGCGCGCGCGCTAGATATATCAAGATATATCAAGATATCGTGTAAATCGATGCAAAAGAAGAAGAGACATGCACATGCTGTACAAGCGTGAAACGTACGCACCATCGGCCACTACAAACTCTTATCGTTACCACTTCGCTTGACAATCGCCTGCTACCTTTCGAGGCTCGTTATCAGCGCGAAACAGTCGCCGCTTTCGTGACGATTCCATTTACGAATCGAATCAACGCGGGTCAGGCGATTCGGCCTCAAGCTGGTCCAGTCATGTTCGTCCCTCACGAAAAGCTGGGACCAACTAGAGATCCTCAAATAAGAGATGGCTACACTGTTAGATATTCAAAGAAGCAATGGCAATCCAATCTCTCAAGTTAAATAACATTTTATTATTTTTAATCTTCATGTGTGTCAAAATGTAAATCAATCCATTTCTATAGTTAGCTTTAAAGTAAACATCCATATTAACGTATGCACTTAGTAAATAATAAACTAAATTTGAATCAAATTTAATACATTTTCTCGAATTAAATCATTTAATTCTATTATTTAAATTAAATTAACGATATTGAGTAGGCGATCTATAGAAATTCAATCATTAAAAATAACTAAATTAGATAATTTGACATTATGAATTTAACAGTGTACCATCCGCCATATTCAGATGCTTAAGATAAAATGAGATAGGTTATGTATAAGATAAAATGAGATATCCACGCATATTATTCTATTTTATCCCATTCTTCTATCTTAAGCACTGTTTTGAATATAGTAGACCAATCAGAAGTTATTTAAATGGTAACCAATCTCCTACTTTAGTACCTCTAGAATCAACTAAAGGCCCTCTAATGAGAGTTTGGACACGAGCCGTGTTTTGTATGCAGGGTCTATAGTTTTAGCATCAAATCATGCGAAAGAGAGAAAGACATATATTTACTCTTTCTTTTTTTTTCAGCTCTCTCTCTCTCTCTCTCTCTCTCTCTCTCTCTCTCTCTCTCTCAGGAGTTGTTCAAACATGAATCAATCAAAAGTGGCTGTTTCGTGTCTTGACTCCGATTAGAGAATCTCTAAGACCAACGTAGAAGTAGAAGCGCCGGCAGAATTTCACAGTTTATGAAATGTCCGAAGGAAAAAAAGAATGTTCACTGAGCGGCCACTCTTTCGCACTAAGCCGTCAATTTATCTGTTTGCTCGTTAATTGACATAATGGTCGAGCCTTGTCGCTCGATCGATTGTACCTTAACGAGGAACGGGAGTGAATTCGTTCCGTAGCGCCATTAAAATTTTCCGTTAGCGAGAAATCAGAGGATAGGGATTCCCTCTTTTTTCTCTACTTTCTTCTATCAAGGCGCTAAAATATTATATTGTTTATTTTATTTTCGCGTTGGAAAGACTCGGTTGGGAATTTCTACGGTTGACTAGCATTCATTCTGGCAATATAGCATCTTTTACGAAAGCGGGTCTACATTATTTTTACTCCAATCGCGCGATCCAATCCACATCGTTCACCCAAAAATTCCATCTCGTTTTTATCCAATGGAAGGGAAAGAACAAATCCGCTCCTCCGTGTTTTATTACGTATGCGTATCCCCGGCTAAATCAGACGGATCAAAAAAGATACGTGTCGAAAATATCGATGTCGTTCCTCATCATGCATCGACGAAACATGCTCGGTCATTCCGCGATATTCTAATGATTTACGATACGAATCCGCAGTCCTTAGGCCGCTGTCATGATAACGTATCGCCCGATTTGTCAACTCGTAGAGAGATACGAACTTTCTATCTTTCCTGTCATTCGCGAAAACTCTAACCGTGTGATGGGCGTTTTGTTTTCGGAGCTGGCGAGTCATCTGAAAGGCAGATCGATCGAACGGGAATCAACGAAGATCGGCCTGGACCTCTTTAGGTTCAATTCATGCTTATAACATATAATGCATAAAGTTCTTGCATAAAGAATGTAACAACGCTCACACGACGAAAGTTGGTGGTAGCCACTCGGAAAGAACGATTTTGCTGAAGTATCTATTATTGTCTATTGTATTTATGTTTATGTTAATTATAGTCTATTGTATCATATTTATTTTATATTTATTACTTTGTTAACATGGAGTCTTTTTCATAAAGCTTTGCAATAAACTAAATTAAATTAAATCTAGAATTTTAGCTATATATAGATCTGAAAATAATTTTGTGGAGCCATCAAAATAATTATATTATATAGTTAGGAATTTCAAGTATGAATAATGTTGCTAAAACATTTTTTAACATTCTAACAACCGTGAATCGACCTTATTTTAAGCGACCTGTAATTATTTTGATAATTGACAAAGTTTTGAGATTTATACGGAAAAAACGATTTTGTTGAAGCATCTAAAAATTTAGCTTGTACAAATATAAAAATAATTTGTTAGCTCAAAATAATTACGTAGGAATTTCAAGTATGGTGAGTAGTACTGCAAACAATTTTAACATTCTAGCTTGAGCGTCTTGATAATCAATAAAATTATTTTCAGATTTATACATGGAAAAAACGATTTTGTTGAAACATCTAAAAATTTAACTTTTACGAGTATGAAAATAATTTTTGAACCCTCAAAATAATGTAAGAAGTCTCAAGTATCAAAATAATAATGTAAGAAGTCTCAAGTATCAACAAGCTAGTAAAATTTTGACATTCTAGCCATCAACTTGAGCGTCTTGCATAATTATTTTAATAATCCAACTATTACTTTCAGATCTGTAGGAGCTAAATTTTTTAATACTTCAACAAAATCATCATCCTTCCTGTACAATCACTTTTTTATTTTTACGAAAAAAGCGATAAATTGATTGGCTATCGCACCAATTTCCGCTACGTAGTAAGCGTTTGCCGCATGCTATATGCAGGAATCATAAAAAATCATTTTATTCTCGTTATTTACTAAAAGTTAAACAAGGATAAATGATGTTCACAAACGTTGTGAGCGTGAATCGGTTTGTGGTCCAAGACTCGGAGGATCAGCGATCCTCGCACGCTTGTCGCTGATAGATTAATCAACGGAATTCCTTAAATAGTCGCCGAGCCATTTCGAATATCAACGATATTATACGCGTCACGGGTCAATTAAATGACACTTTCTATAATTAACAGTCGAAATCGTGCTGCTGAAAACCGCGAGCCTCTCGACGGCGAGTTATTCGATGGGTATGCGATATTATATTACGCACAGGTGCATTCCGTCGTGTTTCAATCTCACGTAATCCAAAATCTCGCGATTATCGGAGTTTCCACTTGGTTATGAGATTTTGCCTATCGGCGGAAACGAGATGTCGTCGTCGCGCGAACTCGTTGGCAGCGGGTATCGGGTTTTAGCCGCAATTTTCGCGTAATGAGATTATTCTGTCGGCTCGCAGTTTATTATCAGTGCGTTTACCCGGGTAGGATTCGCGGATCCGAGAAAGGGATTCTCTCGCGGGAAATCTTACGATCGACGAAAGACGACACGAGCTTGGGGAGCACGAAGACGTCGAAGGAAAACTCCGTTTTCTGTCGCGAGGAGGAAAGATCGATAGAGTCGAGATACGTCAAATATTAGACGTTCGGCCTTCGAGCGAAGAGCGAAATTTTGCAGCTCGCTCTGTGAATCCCGTGTTATAACTTCCCCCGCGGTGGTTATTTGGAATTTGGAAAATTACTCGCGACGTTTGGGGATTCGCGTGACTCCCGACGAATGACTTCTCGCGACGACTTCGAGCAGGAAGGAGCGGAAAAAACGAAATCGTTTATTTCGTATTGGAATAGCCTCGTTCTTCGATCGAGCCGTCCGACAACAGCCCCGGGACAGTTTCCTGCGCTCACAAATGGAGAGGATGCGGCACATACAACGACGTATATACGTCAACTACAAACTTATACAACAGATCAAGCCTTTTGCTCTCTATACATTTATGTGTTCAGCGCACGGTTACGCACACGTAATCTGCCGCAACGGCGTCACCGGTCGGTGCTCGAAATAGTGTAATTCGAGAATTGTATGCCGAATGACGCAAACATGCATATCCCGTGAGAGTGTTTTAGCATAGCAATAATTCGGGAATGAATTTCCACGAGAGCGAGACAGATACCACGTTTCGATAAAATTAAACATAGATTATCGTGTAACCTTCGATATTGTATAGAATAATGATGATATT